GACCAGAGGAAACATCAGCGTTAAACAGGAATGATATTTCACTTCAGCCTCCTTCCTGCTCCACTATTCCCCAAATACCCACTACCCGAGTCGTGAGCGCTTCATCATGACAAGCGCATGTCAGTGCCGATTCACATGTTGGCGAGGAGGCCGGAACAGCACGTCCGTACAATGTGGAAATCGCTTAAAATATATATCTGAGCTGGGTGGGAGTGATGGAGCAGGAGAGGAGAGACGAAGAACAGCGAGCAGACAAAGGACGCTTAGTGGGTTTAATCAAGAAGTCAAATGTTTGAGCTACAGATACTCTTTTGCAAATGCTTGTGTGCGACTCGTGAGGCAAAACTATGACAAAATAATATAAAGTTGTTTGTATTTTTATGAATTTAATAACTCTAAAAGCAGCCCTTAGGTCCCCACCCGCCCCTTTTGGATTCAGTAGTAGCTGCGTTTATGTGCACAGATATATTTTCTGGAGCTGCAGACAACTCAGGCAAAACAGTGACAGTGTGAAAACTGGAGTTTGGACAGTTTTACGTCCCGCGCAGTTCTCACAGAGGCCCGATATCGGACGAGAGCAGGCTGTAAAAAAGCCAGAGTCAGAGGATGTGCAGGGTCAGGAGGGACCCCGAGGATCGGCGTACACGGTGAAGCCCGGGGAGATGTGTGAATAAGTGAGATGTTACAGACTGATGAAATTCCCAGAGAGCCCTACGACGGATAATACGATCCCACCGCGCTGATGCAGAAAACAGATGGAGAGGGGTGCCTTCGAATTTCTCTTTCTGCCTTGTCTTTTTTTTTTCTTTTTCACAACCGTACACAAACCTACAGAAAGACACACACACACACCTGTCTGAGTAATGAGATATACGGCCCTCTGAGGGGAAATCCGTTTAGTCTATCTTGTAAAATAATGTGATTTTTCTCACTCTCGTATACATTTCTTCACCCGCGCAAAGTTTGCCTTGTCTTGTAAAAAAAAAGTTGCAAAATAAATGTCCCTGTCCTTGATGCTTAGAAAAAGCAACTCTGTGCCTACGTAGCTTATGAAAACACAGCAGCAAGTCACTTTTAATTGGGTTTTGCTGTCTAAGTTTTACCCACAACATCTGTTCTGAAGGAAATTTTGTAAAATTGTTGGTCAGATCTGGTGTTTTGTCCCATTTAAAAACCAACTCTGTGCCTACGTAGCTTATAAAAACAACAACAAGTGACTCTTAATTGCATTTTATACTCTAAATTTTGCCCACGACATCTACTTTTGATTTAATTTTGTAAATTCTTGGTCAGATCTGGTGTTTTGTCCCATTTAAAAAACAAATCTCTGCCTACATACATTATAGAAACACAGCAACAAGAGACTCTTAATTGCATTTTAGACTCTAAACTTTGCCCACAACATTGGCTTTTGAACAGATTTTGTAAATTGTTGGTCAGATCTGGTGTTTTGTCCCATTAAAAATCCAACTCTGTATCTATGTTGCTCATAACTACAACAACAAGTCACTTTTAATTGCATTTTGCTTTAGAAATTTTGCCTACAACATCTGCTCTGAAGAAAAATTTGTAAATTGTTGTTCAGATCTGGTGTTTTGTGATATTCAAAAATCAACTCTGTGCCTACGTAGCTTATAAAAGCAACGATAAGCGACTTTTAATTGCATTTTACTCCCAAAAATTTGCCCACAACATCTACTTTTGAACAAATTTTGTAAAATTCTTGGTCAGATCTGGTGTTTTGTCCCATTTATAAACCAACTCTGTGCCTATGTAGCTTATCAAAACAATAACAAGTGACTTTTAATTGCATTTTACTCTCTAAATTTTGCCCACAACATCTGCTTTCCAACAGATTTAGTAAAATTCTTTATCAGATGTGGCGGTTCGTCCCACTCATCGATCCATAAACTGGCTCAAACAGAGGGAGGGCTCACTCCTGTTATCTGAAAGTGCCTTTTAATAGCAAAGGGGAGTCAAGCGTCCACCGGGCCCCTGCTGACAGAGTCAACACAACTGAGCGCCGCTTTGCAGGTCATAAACACTCTGTTGACAGTGGTCAGAGGCTTATTATCCTCACAGCAAAGGACAACAAGCCCAATGTACCAACTCCAAACAATCCCAGCCTGCGGATTTAGATCACAGAGCTCTTGTTAGCAGCTCTGGTTTTAAACCTCACCCAGGAAAGCCAGTGTTTTACCGTAAAAACTGAACTGCTGGTGGCTTTTTTTTTTTTGCAGGAACCTGGTATTGGCTACATGTGCTGTAATCTATCAGTGTTTGATCAGGACTGATAGGAGCTGAGGCACGTATCAGTTAAATGTAGGCCAGAGGTCACCGCTGCTTTGTGCGCTTAATGTTGCTGCTGCTCTCGGCCATCGGAGGCTCAGCGCTTGTGGATCTGGCAGCTCCTCGCAGATAAGTGAGCGTGGACCCCAGGGGGCCAGAGACAGCCGGACCCCTCCGTGGATGAGAAGTGTCTGTGCTGTCAGCTTTGGTTCCCAGCGTGGCCTCTCCGCCTCGGCCGCCCCCTCCAGCCCCCACCGAGCCCCTCCACGGCCCTTTGTGTGTGGACCAATGCTCCCTGTGGACTCGCCGCTCTCTGGCCTTTCACATGCGACTGTGTCCAATCACCCCCCCGCCTCCGAACCCAGAGCCTCCGTCTCCATCTCCAACCAGCTCCTGACCCCGAGAGGGACTCAGAGAAAGAGGGAGGCAGGCAGAGGGCCGCTATTGGCCACTTGAATACCTGCCTGAAAGAAAAACGGATCACTTGTATGAAAGGAGACGAAGGGGAGGGGAGAGAGCGGGTCTGATGAGACGTAGTTCATAGAGAGTTTATAAGCTGGTTATTAATGGTTAATAAATAATGTATTACGACTTCATAAAGCAGGAATAAAGAGTTAAGAAGAGCAGCACATCCTCCTCTGCTGCAGGCCTGCACTTACACACATTAACACATTGGTAATAGCAAATAGTTTTTCTCATCAATATGTACAAGATCAGTTTCTTCTACAAGAATCAGTGCAGTATCAGCATTTCTCTACTCGGGAAGAATCTGAGCAATATTATGGAGGAATCTGTTCAGTGTTGTTATTTTTACAGACATATACATGCGTCAGTTCTTTGGGTTTGCAGTCCAACGGTTTTTCTTATCAGTCTGCACAATATCAGTTTCTTCTGCATACACAAGAATCTGCAATATCAGCTTTTGCTCCGACAGAAGAATCTGTGCAATATCGTTGTTTTTCGACATTAAGATATGAGCGATATTGTTGTTTTCCACATCTAGAGAAATGTGTGCAATATCTGAATGTCCACATGTAGAAGAATCTGGACAATATCGCCACTACTTGTGTTTATTTCTTGTTTAGTTTTGATTTTCCTACTGATAATCAACGCATGTTTGCACTTCCCAGCTGTGGGATTGATAAAGCTTATCCTATCTGACCTTATTTTATTTTATCCTATGTTATCCCTGTAAACATTAAATTTAGTTAAAGAGCAAGTTAAATGATGTCTGTGTGATTCAGGGCCCAGTCAAGTTCACACCTGGAAAAAGGGATTCCTTACAATGTGGTTACCAAACTGAGGACGTATTAATGGTCTGTGAAACCAGAATAAGAACATCAAGAAACTCCAGGAGTCCATCTCCTCCGTGTTTTTCCTCTTGCCGGGCTGTTGGCCTCGGCTCTGACCACCTGAAGGCCTCACCGGGTCGACCCGGCCTTGGCAGGGTTGGATCACACCTTCCATCGGGGTCAGCTGTCAGATGGTGGAGCTGCACCTGCCGTCTGAAGCAGGGTGGGCCCACCGCCGCCGCCCTGCCAACGCTGGAACACATAATTACTGCCTCAAAGACGATTATGCTGTTTACTCATGCCCATGCGAACAACAGATGACTGTTCCGCGGCCCTGCCTCTCCGAGGAGGCGTCTCACCTAGTGATGAGGAAACCACTGCAGCCAACCAACATTCAGGCCGTCCAAGCGGCGGCTCTGATGCCAGAAATGAGCCGTGGCTATTAGCTGTTCAAACACCCCCCTCCCCTCGTCATCTTCAATTCAACAGCCCCAGTGAGAGCTGGCGTCATCCGAGAGGAGCAGAGTGTTGCACTGGAAATAAAGAGAAATTCCTTCATAGCTCCAAGGCCGGGCTGCAGACAAAACTATCAGAGAGGCACGTTTAATGAGCTCTGGAGCTTCTGTGGACACCTCTGAGGAAAAATAGTCAACAAAACAGACTGTGGAGGAATAAATGAACTTTCTTAGTTTGTGTCATGTGGTGTAAAAATAATTCCCCTTTTCAATCTAACACAAATGTGACTCCTCCTCCTCTTTGGGCTTATTACAAACTGATGACAGTTAGATTAGTGTTTCTGGAAATATAATTAGTATTACATGTGTGGGAGACTGTAGTGATTACAAGCCTGCAAAAGATCACAATTTACAGTAGATCAGACACAAAAGCTTATTTTTGGAACCCATGGCTGCTTATTAGATGACATATTTCCTTGACACCAACAAAACATTACTACTTATTGCATCTTTTATGAACTGTGCGTCTGTTTGACCATGAATATTAATGTCGGATTAGTTCTAACTGATGGAATTTGGATTCAACATACTGAATTTCTGTCTTGGTGAAGCCATTAATAAACATGTTTCCACTGTAATATGGTGATTCTGTGTATTTTTATATAAGTAAATGAAAAAAAAAAGTTTTGAGAAGCATTGATCTTCTTGATGCAGCAATAAAATAAAAATGCGTAAAAATGGAACAATGCGCTCAGGTGCGTAAATTTCCAATAACAGCGTCCACACGTGTGCGCAGAGGAGGAAGTTATTTTCTCGTTAGATTGTAAAACTTGTTAATGCACAGTCTATATGGGTAACACCCCCCTGCTCTCCCTCCCTCCCCTCTCCAGGAGCCGTATTGAGCTGTGGGGTTGGGACATTCCTGGTTTGACGACCAGCCTCTCGCCGCTGCCATGATTTGCTGAGCAACTCGACACTGGCTTCAAAGATGCGTGTGTGGAAGAGGCAGCGGTAGAGACGGAGACGGAGAGCTGGAGAAGTTACACTTAACGGACCAGACACAGAGAGACAGAGACAGAGAGAGGCAGCGTGTTTGCGCACCGAGCCGCCGGGACGTTACGCTTCCTTTTTCTTCCCCTTCAACAAACTTCCCCCAAACTACACCACCGGAGCTCGAGTGGAGACCAGGGGGAGTTGTCGCACCTTGGCCCCGAAGCCTGCGCTGCTGTGCGGGTCTGAAGACTCCTTCCTCCCCCTCTTCTCTCTCCACCTCCTCCGGCTGCGTTCATGTTCCTGCCGTCGTGTCGCACTTTGAGCCCGTTTCTAATGGAGGGCCCCGTACGGATTTGCCATCAGAATAATGCGTTTGGCTGCTGATTCACCCGACGTCTCGCTGCTTCTTCTGCCCTCCTGCAAGAGAGGTAAGACGGGGAGGCAGAGAGAGGGGAGTCCCGGGCTGGTGGAGGGTTTTTTTTTTCTTTAGTGGGGTGAAAGAAGGGAAGGCAGCTCGGTGTGCGCACCGGAGCAGCTGGAAACGACAAAAGAAAGGTGGCGTTAAGAGAAGCAGAGAGCTCCACGGTGGAGTTTTGATCTTTTACGCAAACATTGTCGTGTTTTGTGAACTTTGTGTTGTGGAGAGCAGCGGCGCGGAGTGGCAGTACACGAGCCGCAGTGTGGTGAACGGGGGCGCCCGAGTACGCAGAGGAACACTGAGGGTTTCCATGAATTAACTCCACATTAAATGCACATTATACACCCATTCTATCCCCTAAATCAGTTTTATAGCCAAGTACAACTCTGATTATTTAAAACTCTCTACATATTTGCTCTTTAAGTGTCAGAATATGATGTTAAATTGTCCACTAACAGAGAGAAAATCCTCACAAGAGACTCTTTTGAGCAACATTTTCCAGCAAAATCCAACTTTTCATTCGGCTAAAATGCACCCAGCAGCATCCAGATTCCTGCTGAGCTCTCATCTATCTTTCTGTATGGTGACCCAGACTCTGTTCTGTTGTCTCTGAGGTGAATGAAACCCAACAAAAGCTTAAATATTTGTTTGGTAAACAGCTCTGGAAACGCAGATCCTCTCCTTCCCAGTTGAAACCAGATGGCCTGCGGCTGCTTTTCTGCTTTTAAAAGATGAAAGAACATTTTTTCTTCTTTTTTTTAGAACTAGCAAATATATCCCTCCCTTTACATGTTCCTGTCACCTTCATAAAAGCTGAAAATGGACACATCACTTTGTTCTAAAGTTGTACTTTTTATTATACAGTAGATCCGCTTCAGGAGCCAACTTGCAGCCACATTTACCGCTCTGCAGAAACACGGTGGCTTAGACTAATATTTGAAGTTTTTTTTTTTTTTTTTCCTCCTTCTTGTCCAAAGACAGAGAGCCTTTATTGTTTCAGATAAATCCCCAGAGGGTGTCATAAACGCTGGTTTGGTGAATCAGTGTTAGTGTTGCTCAGAAATCTGGCAAGTGCACAAATCACTGCTGCGAAGGTGCCATTTATTTACTGCTTCTGACAGTTTGAGCTACACAAAGGGGGGGAAAAAAACATTAATGGGCAAATGGGAATCTTTGAATAACAGTGCAGAGTGTGAACGCAGCCAGATAAAGATCATCAGACAGTCTTTGCTTTGTTCCTTTCTGCTCGGTTTCACGCGTTGCTTCTTCAGTGTCTTCTAATCTTTTGAAAGATGGGAAATATTCCAAAAGAAAAAAAAAAGAAAAGGTGGCTGTAATGTCAGAAAAGTCACTGCTTGTAGCTCAGAACTGGTTGTACAAGTGTGTGCAGGAGCTGTTTTCACTCAAATCCGGAACTAAACTTTATATTCTCAGTTACACGTTGACTTTAAGTTGAATCCAATTTATTTTTACCTTCTGTTTCTAAAAACTGTAAATATTTAAGTCAGTTTATTCCCAAATGAGGCCTTTTTTCTGCAGAACTGAAAAGGTGACAGAGTAAAAGTGATATTGTGGCTTTTGTTCCTGTCAAGTGATTTCCTCCGTCTGATGTTGGCCCTCGTCACCAGAGCTTCACGGTGACTTTTTTTGTTACGTGAGGGGCGACCCTCGGAGCAAAACTGCACACTTTTAAACGTTATGGAGAACAAAGTCCGGAGTCGCTCTCGAAATGCATGACATCCAGTTGGTGGGACACACATGGCTGCTCCCAGATAAAACACTTTCAAGTTCAAACAGTCGCTCGTGCATTGTTGCGTCGGCGGGGGGACGAGAAGACACTTCCGATGGCTTTCAGGTCCTTTCAGTGCTGCCTGATATTGGGTCGAGCTTTTTGACACAGAGATTTGCTCTTTGTTCGCTTTTTAGGTTTCGATGCTGAGTTTGTTGCAGAAGTTTTGGCCAGGTGTTGTGATTTATTGTTTCTGTGGCCACTTTTCCTTCAACTTGCCTCATTTTAACCTAACTGACTCTTTCATTTCCTGCATTTTCTTCAATACTTTCCTCTTGCTGCTAATCTGCCTGCACTCTGGTCAGGCCGCTGCTTAGAAAAATGCTCTTACTGTTGCATTTTGAAAGCCTGATAGCCAAACTTGATGTCTTAAGTGGCAAAAATATGCTTTTGCAGTCAGTTTTGCTCTGTTGCATGCTGGAAATATCAAAAAATGGCATCATACTGTCTATACAAGGCGTCTTTTTCGATACAAAAGCACAAAAAGGACTCCACCATAATGACCTGTTGAGTATTTTTAGTTTGCACTCTCCCCCCGAGGTAACCGTGTATCGGCATTGTGATTAAATCAGACAACGACGGAGCCTCACAATCATTTTTTAATGTGTTTTTGCAGCATTTTTTTTTATTTTTTTAGAGAGAAATTAATAAGCCATTAGTGGCCCAGCTCTTATCAGACGGAGCCGAACAAAGCACAGCCGTGCCATTAAGCCAGTTTGAATAATGTTTGAGCCATTAGCGTGCTGGTTAATGATAAACACATGTTGCTGTAGGAGAACTATGTTAAGTGGGCAATTTGAATGTAAGCATGTGTAATGATACCAGCCCCTGCGCTCATAATGGCTCTCCTGATTTTTCTGATGCGGTATTATATTCGCACAAGCAACCGGCAGTGACGGGTGAAGGCTGGAAGGTAGCAGCAGAAGGGAAAACTCAGGTTTGCAGAGTAGCAGGGAGGTTTTGTTAAAGGTAAAACACAGAAACTAGGTCATGTGTACGTTAAAATATTGTGGTTTTGGCATTAAAATGAAGCACATGTCATTTAGTGCTCATCTGATTGCTCGATTAGGTGATTGGAAGATAATTTAAGTCGTTAATGGAAAGAAAAACTTGTCAACAACACTTCATTTTAGCTTTTTACATGCTTTTTCCTGTTTCATTTGGGCTTTGCAAGGCTGAAATCTGCATTTCCACCTTTTTGTCCCCTCACAGAATGAACAAAACTTGATAAATTGATGAAGCTGCAGTGATATTTTCATGTGTTTAAGAGCTTCAGTGATGGATAAGTGGATGAAGGTCTGTCTGAGGTGAGTGCGGTGGGAAGAGGGTGTGTAAGTGGGTGACTAAAGTATATTTTGGGCGCCACCCACATTCTAGCTTTGCTCCAGGCCGGGCAGCAGACCTCAGCTCTGGCCCCGGAGCGAAAGGAAGCGAACCTAAAACCCAAATCACAACGCGGTTTGCTTGTTTATTTGGTTTCGCGCTACAATCTGTCGTATTATTGCGCCGAAGGATCAACCTTTTGCCCAAGAAAAATGTTTCGAGAGCGATAAAACGAGGAGAGAAAAGTGTACCTCGAGCAGCTGTGTTATTTTTCCGTCATCCTCTCAATATTTTGACTTTGCCGGAATTAAAGTCTTGTAAATCTCTTGATTGCTAATCCATTTCAGCTCCTTAGTATGAAAAGTAGAATTTAGAGGACTTGTTTTCCCCCAAACTAAAAAACCTGTCTGAACTCCTGACACACAGGCCTCCTTTTTTTGCTCTCATTGCTCAGGGATTGAGTCATGCTGCGGCGTTTTTCCCATTTTCTAACGCTGGCTTCGGCTTCCATTCGTCAAGGACAGACTCAGGCTCCCATTAGATGGACAGAGGGGAGTTTTGGGCAGCGAGCCAACGAGCCCCCATGTTCAAGGAGCCGGGGGGTGCTGATTGACAACACCCAGCAGCCATGAGCGGCGGGTCGCTGGGAAAGATGGGCAGGTCGGAGAAAAGAGTGCCACTGCTGGGTTGGTGAGTGCACCCTGCAGCTGCAGCGCCAACCAAAAAAAAAAAGCACTCTCAGGACAAACTGTGAGCTGAATCGGGTAAATTGAAGTAGCGGCGATGGCGAGCGCAGTAGCTGAAGGTGTCACTTGTGTTTATAAGAAGCTGTCTCAGCAGCACTTCTTATCTGCTCTGAGCTCACACTGTCATTATTTTAACTACACAACACATATTTCTCTCAGTAGGACCCCCCCACCTACCCTCCTGTCCTCATTTCTTCCATTCTCACCCCCCCAACCCGACTCTGACAGATGATCCAAACAGCCCAGCACCGACTACGCAAAGCATGTTAGTCCAGGAGGTTACAGATAAGCCGCATGCTTCCTCTGGCACGACTTCTCCTGAAATGTCAAAGGTGAGCCGACTGTAGCCGAGTGTGTACGCCGGCTTTCAGCAGATGGTCGTGTCGAGTTTCTTGCAAATTCAGAACCTTGAAGGACCTGAAACTGGATAATGACTTTCGAGAGATTTGAGAAATGAAATGAGAAACATCGGGGCGTAATTGTTAAGACAAACAAACAGTTTTTGGGAGCAGCAGAAACAGATGTTTCCAGCCAGCCACCGAAATGCAGCGAGATGAAGCTGCGCAGGCTGAGGAGGGAGAGGAGCCTGCTTCTGCTCCGGAGACGGCCGAGCTTTCTGTTGCTGTAATGGAAATACAGGCCTCGACTAAATATATACGTCCTCGATATGATAAGGGAATGTAAACCAATACCACACATGGCGCTTTGAGGGAAAACACTCGGTCCAGGAGGCCGACAGATAATGAAAATGCCTCGAAGCAGATGGTCAGGAGCCCAACGTGTGACACAGTAGGATGCAGTTTGTTTAATGTAGGAAAACATTATGTAGGTCAGATCTGATTCTTGATGGAAAAAAACCTGTTGGTCCCGAGCCATTTGAAGCACACTGCAGTTAGATTTTATTATTTATGGGCTCATAATCATTCCAGGGAGTGTCTTTTTGGCTTGTGCGGCAACAGTATACGTGTCTTTAACGTGATACAGAACACCACATGTATGACGGAGGATAAAAAAGCTCCCCGTGAGGGTTCGATGTGTCGTTATACGTGACAAAAAAAACAACAACAGTTTTCCTCCTGCAAACCCACGATGAGACCCATTGTTCTCCTTTATGATTCCTCAGCCCCAGGGAAGATTTTCAGGGAGTGAACT